CTTGCCCTGTTTCTCGAATTGCATCAGTGTTCTTGATATGGTAGCTCTTGAAAAACCAAACAGTTCAGCAACCTTAGTGATCGAGGCTCCTGCCATGCGAGCTCCAACAATTTGCTCTTTTTCGAACTCGGAGAGGTCACGCATTTAGCTTAAATTTTACTAAATTCTAAAAATAAATAAGACAAAGACAGTAAAAATTAGATAAAAATAAACGTATTTACAATAGATATAACCTGCAATTACGAAGTTTTAGTTAAAGTTCTTAATATAATAGGTCTTTGAAATATAGGAGTGGATTTTGCAACTGTTCCAATTATTTTGTCCCAGAACTATCCTTTCGAATCACATACTCCAACAGATATGATATGACAGTGTCTGTCATGATTGTAATAAAGGGTGTTCCAATAACTTGGACCGATTTTAAATGTGAATTAAGTTTAAGCGTCTAATGTTTTTTTTTCTTTTTCGTTCAGATTTAACAAGTCTTTGGCAATTTCAAATATGGAAAGATTAACAATCAAGCAACGTGTTAAAGTTATCGAAGCCTGTTACGAAAATGGATGTTCAAGCAGAAATGCATTTTGATCACTTCGCGATTTTTTTGGTCAACATAATCGACCAACCGTGAGTGATATTGGAAACGATGTAATGTTATCGTGGAAAGGTTCAATTCCTGCGTGCCATGATGAATAGAGGTGTCTGGATTTTCGGCCACATTCTCGTGCACTGCAGCTATGCTTTCAGCTGAACGGTACAAACGAGCATGCAATTGTGTTTTCACATCTACCATCGATCCAGTTTGTTTGAATTTACGAACATTTTTCTAATTGCACTTTTGAAACTTTAACACGTTGTTTCATTGTTAATTTTTCCATGGTTGAAATTGCCAACGACTTAAGATGTTAAATATGAAAGAAAAAGAAAAAAAAATCATCAAACACTTAAACTTAATTCACATTTAAAATCGGTCCAAGTTATTGGAACACCCTTTTTTAAAAGTTATCCTGGACAGCCATTCTTCTAGATCCGTTTGCAAATGTCATCCAAGGTTTTATCCTTGGTCCGATTTTGTTTTCCATTTTCATTAGCAACCGTTCCGATGACATCATCTCTCAACTTGGAGTCTACGCTGATGACACAACCATTTACTCTTGTCTCGATGGTAAGTCTGATCAGTTCGATAAGGTCAAATTGTTGGCTGGTGACAAAAACGACATTCATTCTGTTGTTAACTGGGGCAAAGGATGGCTTGTTAATCCTAACCCCCTCCAAAATTGAACATTTCTTTATTAATCATCTGAGAGACTCCTTTATGTCTTCTATCAGCATGTCTGATGCTAACCTTCAGGAGAGTGACTCATTTGCTTTCTTTGGTTAACGTTCTCGGTTGACATGAAGTGGAAAGACTACATTGAATCCATTACTAGGTCTATTAGGTCTATTGGTGAAAAAGTTGGTTCACTGTGTCGTGTTAGACAATTTTTCTCTCCAGAATATATCTTGCATAGCAATGTTTATCATTTGTCCATGCTTAGAATATTGCTGCCACATATGATCCGGAGTTCCTGCTTTATATCTAGAGTTACTTGATAAAATCCAAAGAAGAATCAGCAATATTATCGGTCCTGATCTTTCATCTCAGCTTCAGTTACTTTCCCATCGCTGTAAAGTTGCTCTCTTGTCCCCTTTCTATCAATATTTTCATGGTAATTGTTCGAATGAGCTCTTCGCTATGGTGCCGAGAATTTTTAAATTTAAGCGCAGAACGTGACTGGAAACGAGGTCTCATTAATTTATAGTTCAGCTAGCTTGATGTAACCGTAAATTCTATGCTAACAGCTTCTTTTCTTGCACTTCTCACTTGTGGAACTCTCTTCCGGCTTCATGTTTTCCAGCCAACTTTAGTCTGCCAAAATTTAAATGCATTATCAATCGCTATCTACTGTCCTCCTGATTACTCTTTTCTCTTCCCGCTCATTATTAATGATTTTGTTTTCTAATTCTTCCACACCCAGTATTAATAAAAAACAATTCTGTGTCTTTCATACCTTGCTTTTAAAAATTGCTTAAAATTCGATTATTTATGTTCTATAAAAGATAATATGTTAATAAAATTGTATTTAATGTGATTGCGAACATTTTATTTGAGGCAAGAAGCTATCTGTTTAGAAAGATCGTTTTTCGTTCTTTATTCGACTTTATTGAAAGTTGATCTGCTAAAATATAAATGACTGATAAATGATTATGAAAGATATGTTATCTCGGGTAATGGCGGGTCACGTTGCTCGTGTGTATTTAAGAAAGCCAACCATGTGTATGGTGTCACTTAGGGCCATAACATATTGATAAGGTGGAAATCATAGATAATTTATGCACAGAATAAAATACGAATATAAGCATAAAGAAGAAGGCGGGGGGATAGAGGAAGACAAAAGAAGGTAAGTGACAAAAGTGGCGTGGGAAGAGGAAGGGCACAGGGAAAGAAAAAAATAACAATATTTTAAGAAAGGTTAAATTAAGATTTTAAAAAAAAAGAAATTGGGAGGGTAAAAATTAAAAGGGAAAGAGAGAGATAGATAGAATAGAAAGAGAGAGAAATTGGGAGAAAAACAAGAACGTGAGTGAGTAAAAAAAACGGAGAAGGGAAAAAATAAAAAAAAAAAAAAAAGAAAAAAAAGAAAAAAAAAAAAAAATTAAAAAAAGAAAAAAAGAATGATAAAAAGTGATAAATAAAATAAAAGTTACATAAAAAAAGGATTTTAAAAAGAAAACATACATAGAAAAGAAAAAGAGAGGAGAAAGAAAGATAATAGAAGAGCAAAAATAAAGAAAAAGAAAGAAAAAAGAGAAGAATAATCAGAAAGAAGAATGAAAGAAAGAGAGAGAAAACAAAGAGAATGATAGAAAAAAAAATGAAGGAAGAAATGCAGAATAATTGAGAGAAGGAAAGGAATTAATTTTTTGAAAGTGAAAAAAAAAGAAAAAAATGAGGTAAAATAAAAAATAGAAATTCAAAATAAAAAAAAGAATTTTAAAAAGAGAAAAGTTTTTGAAAAAAGAAAATTTTAAAAAAAGAATAAAATAGAGAGAGATAAATTATTAAAAAATAAAAAAAAAGAGAATAAAAGAGAAAAAAAGAAGAGATAAATAAAAGATAAAGAATTTAGAAATTTAGAGAAAGAAAACAACAAAATGTTCCCTTCTTTCTTTATGTGACGCAAATATTTGTCGTTCGTCCGGTACTCAATATTGATGATAATGAGGAAGCTCATATTGAAAAAAATTTTTATTTAATTTTGTGCCGGAAAAAAAGTTTTTTTTCCGAACTCTTGATTAGGAAGTTTTCGCGGTAGATTAGTTGACTTTTTGTGGAAGGCATTTAAAAAAACTACGTCATATACAAAAGTTGCGTTCCCCTTCTAGTATCCGTGGGTAAAATGTTACGTCATCTGGTAAAAAAAACTGAAGATGGAATTGAAAAGGTGAAAATTCTGAATTTTTTCTTCAATGATTTTTATTACCGCAAATTCCAGTCGGTTGTAAAAAAGAAGGAAGAATAAAGATGGAATAAAAAGAAGAAAAAAAAAAAAGCGGGGATGGAGAGCAGAAAAAAGAAAATGGAAGGCGAAAGAAAGACGAGAAAATTTAAAAGAAAAAGAACAAATTGACAAAGAAAAATGAAGTAAGAAGAAAAAAATGAAAAGATAAGACAGAGGTAGGAAGAAGAAGAAAAAGAAAATGAAAGACGAGAAAATTTTAATGAAAAAGAAGGATTAGAAAAAGACAAAAAATGAAAAATAAGAAAGAAAAAAAAATAAGTGAAAAAAGAAAATAGGTAAAGAAAGAAAATGGAAAGACGAGAAAATTAAATAAAAATTAAAAAGAAAATAATTAAAAAAGAAAAAGAAAGCAAGAAGACAAAGAAGGCAAAGGAGAAGACTGGGTGGAAGAAAAGGAAATTGGAATTTAAAAGAAAAAATAGAAATTTAAAAAGAAAAGAAGAATTAAAAAGAACAACAGAAAAAAAGAGAAAAAAAAAAGAAAAAAAATGAATGAAATAAGAAGATAGCGAAAAAGCGAAGAAAAAGAAGAAAAAAAAAGACAGAGAAAAAGAAGTGAAAAGAGCAAATAGAGAGAAAAAGAAGAAACAGAAGCGAAAAGAGAAAATACAAAAAAGAAAACGAAGAGAAAACAAAAAATAGAAAAAAAGAAGAAAAATATTGAAGATGGAGAAAAAAGAAGAAAAAGAAATGAAAAAGGGAAGGAAAAAATAAGGAAAAGAAGTGAATAAAGAAGATAGGGAAAAATGAAAGAACAGAAGTGAAAATAGAGAAAAAAGAAGAAAAAAGAACTAAAAATGGAAGATAGAGAAAAAAAGAAAAAAGGACGTTTTTTTGAAAAGAGAAAATAGAAAAAAAAAAGGAGGAAAAGAAGTGAAAATAGAAGAAAGCGAAAAAGAAGAAAAATAAATGAAAAGAGAAGAAAAAAAAAAAAGAATAAAAACAGAAAAAGAAAAAAAAAAAAAAGAATAAAAAGAAGACAGAGAAAAAATAATGAAAAACAAAAAATTCAAAGAAGAAAAAAAAAAAAAAGGAAAAAAGGAAGTGAAGAGAAGAAGATAAGAAAAAAAAAAAAGAAAAAAGAAGAAAAGAAAAAGAAAAAAAAAGAAAAAGAGAAAAGAAAAAAGAAGGAAAGGAAGTGAAGAGAGAAGATAGAGAAAAAGAAGGAAAAGAAGTGAAGAGAGAAGATAGAGAAAAAGAATTTTTTTAAAGTGAAGAGAAGAAGAAAAAAAAAAAAAGGAAAAGAAGTGAAGAAAGAAATTAAAAAAGAAGGAAAGAAAAAAGAGAGAAGATAGAGAAAAAAAAAGGAAAGGAATTGAAAAGAAAGAGAAAAAAAAAAAAAAAAATTTTGAAATTTAAAAAGAAGAAAAAAGAAGGAAAGAAGAGAAAAAGAAGAAAAAAAGAAAAGAATGAAAAAAAAAAAAAAAGAAAAAAAAAGTTTTAAAAAAAAAGAAAAGAAAAAAAAAAGGAAGAGAGAAGAAAGAGAAAAAAGGAAAAAGAAATGAAGAGAAGATAAAAAAAAGGAAAAGAAATGAAAAGAGAAGATAGGAAAAGAAGGAAAAGAAGTGGAAGAGAAGAAAGAGAAAAAGAAAAAAAAAAAAGAAGAAAATAAAAAAAAGAAAAGAAAGGAGAAAAAAAAAAAAAAAAAAAAAAAAAAAAAAAAGAAAAAAAAAAAAAATGAAAAAGAGAAGATAGAGAAAAAAAGAAAAAAAAAAGGAGAAAAGAGAAAGAAAAAAAAAAAAAAGAAATAAAAAGAAAAAAAGGAAATAAAAAAAAGAAGAAAAAAAGAAAGAAAGAAGTGAAAAAAAAAAAAAAAAAAAAAAAAAAAGAGAAGATAGAGGAAAAAGAAAGAATAAAGGTGAAAAAAGAAGTTAGTGACAAAGATAAGAAATAAAAAGGGAAGATAGAGAAAAAGAATGAAAAGAAATTAAAATACAATATAGAGAAAAACGAGAAAAATAAAAGAAAATAGAAGAGGGAGAAAAAAGAAGAAAAGGAAGAGAAAAGAAAAAAAGAAGTGAAAAGAGATGGTGACAAAAAAGGAGAAAATGAAGCGAAAGGAGAAAATGGAGAAAAAAATGATGAAAATGATGAGAAAAATGAAGATAGAAAAAAAATGACAATGGAATGTAAACGAAGGACGGGAAAATAAAAAAGAAAGAAAAAAGAAATAAATTCTAAATCGCAAAAAAAAAACCTTAATGAAAAAATGCGTCTCAAATTCTAACGAAAATTTTCCCAATACTGTCTACGTCCACTTGTGTTAACAAGTTCATCGAATTGTCCATCCTTTTGGCCTTGTGTCAAACTAAGCTAAGCTTATTAACTGACAATAATTTTTCCATTACCTCGAATATGAAGAGAGATTGGCATCTTATTAATAATTATTTTGACTCATTAAAAAAGAATTACTATCGTCTCCAATAAGGATAGGCACTCATTACAGAAGCAAAAATATAAATGAATCATCTAATATATAAAGCTAAAAATTGCGTATGTGCCCGTTCGAAATAGAATATTAATTATATATTATTCTATATTATTGTTTATCTATTACAAGTCCAAGAGCCACTCAAGGCAGAAGGTTACCGACTGAAGTTGTTATAAGGGCGTAATAGGAGGAAGTAAGAAGTGCATATTAGGAGGATGTGTAGAATAGATAACTATTGAACCTAGACTTGAAGAGGTTAGAATTGTAGCGATCGGGAAAGCGTCCCCTCAGGAATTTGTGCCACAAAGTAACGGTTCTCGGGGAAAATTTGCCTTCCTCTTTATCAATGGAATACGAAGGGAATGTAGATGAGTCGACACTGTGTATGTGGCATTGCGGATACTAACTGCGAAGGCCTGAACTGGTTGAACTAAGAAATGGTGTTCTCTGGACATTTGTCGTTAAAATAGCGACAACAGCGTAGCGAGAAGCTAGCAACGCTTCGTCAGTTGTAGTGGGGAATAATTCATCGTCCACAAGGCCGCGTAAATGCATTTAAATGATACAAGCCAGTTTCTTCTCCCCTACCACCTCTTGAGCTGTGATGGCTACGTCAGAGGAGAGATGGTACTATGACAAGGCTGGTAAGTGCAGATTGGGTGGTCCCAGTCCACATATAACAACAATACTCTATTTTTGGTCTGATCTGACTCTTGTAAAGAAGATGCCTGACCAGAGAGGTTCGGTATTTACTTAAGTGGAACATGGAAACCATATATAGGAATTGAAGTTTTGAGTGATCTTGAGTTCTAATAGACGGAATCCTCTTTGAGAATACAATCTTTTCTCATGACTGGAGAAAAAAAAATTACTGTCTTCTCGGTGGTGATGAAACGTTACGAGCTTGGTTTTGGAATGATACAAGCCAGTTTCTTCTCTCCCACCACCTCTTGAGCTGTCATGGCTACGTCAGAGGAGAAATTAGCTGCTTGATTTTTGGAGGTGTCGGTGATATGAATGATCGACGGTTACGACTCTTCATTCTCTTAGAGCAGTGATTTTCAAACGGTACGGCATGCCTCATAGGTGCAGCGAAAGAAGATAACAGGCGAGGCGGAATGATTGAAAGACAATCAAAGATTTAGAAACAATTTCAAAAATTTCATATGCCAAAAATAAATATGATTTCGAAACTTTAAATATTATTATGGATTACAGTAATTGCATGCATGAGTCTCAGTAGAAATAGTTATAAATAATTACTGACTGATTTTATCATTGCGATGTTTTTGCATTATATCAAGTATTAAGAATATAGTAACTAGGGTCTGCAAATTAGAGGAGAGAGTTATCAATGATAATGTCCTGACTTCGAATCCGCGGTTATCTCCCTTTAACTCTCTCTCTCTCTCTCTCTGTCTCTCTGTCTCTGTCTGTCTGTCTGTCTCTCTCTCTCTCTCTCTCTCTCTCTGTATGTGTGTGTGTTTTATTTCTAAATGTATTTTGATCACATAAAATTTGGTGATGCGCGAGCAAATTCTCATTCCGAAAATGCGACCCACAGAAAACAAATTGGGGAACTAATATCTTAGTGGTTTATCCCTTGTTTCCTGTTTAACTTAACCTTTACTTCTGTTTACTTGATGTGGGAGGAGTGTGAACTGGTCTTATTTACCTATTACATCACAACGGAATCTATTTCGATAAGCAATCTGTGTACTGCGTTCTTTAATTTTTTCTCACGACAGTTTCTATAATGTAGAAGCAATAAGCAGATTTAAATTGATACTAGCAAGGATAACCGTCATTGGACAGGCTAAGTCCTTATGAAATTTAAAGGTTACATATTGTGTATATTGTAGGTGGTGTGCGTGTTCACATGTAAACAATTAAAGAAGCATACAAAACCTTGGGTTTCTACTTACGGACTGTTTATTCTCTTCTTTTTTTTTCTTTTTTTCTTACTGTAGGAAAACAAAGTTCTCAATGTATCTTGGGTATGTCCGTTTTTTTCTGGCCCAGAAATAAGTTAAGGGGAGTAAGGATAAGAATGGTCGAGCTCATCAGCCTTGCGCTAAGTTGGAACGGCCAAACTAAAGGTTGGTTTACTTCATAGTTTTGGAAGACACGTGGGAACGCTGTGCGTTGGAATGTGGAAAAGTTAGTTCAGTCATCAGTCGAGCGAGGAAAAGAAATGTTCGCCAGCCGGGACCTCTTCATTTGCGTTCTGATAGATCATCGAACCACATTTTAAACTCTATATCGTTGTTGAACGAAACATCCCTCAAATTGTTACGAAGCTAATCAGGAGAATATGGTAGGTGTGGCAGAACTTCCTAACCGAGCCCTTTAATTTCATGTTTGGTCATGTTAGTGACGTAAAAAAGCATTGTCATGTAAAAAAAGAATCATGCTGGTCAGTTTTTTTTTTTTTTTTCTAAAAAATGTTAAATTGATGTAAAATTTGAAAGGTCGAAAATTGTTGAATATTGCGGTCGCTAATTGTTTTTCTCGTTTCTAGTTTCTATAATTTAGAAGCATATTCGTAGATGAACCCATAAACTGTGCATATATATTTACAAATGATCTGAGAATACTATTAGGCAGATCAATAATAAGAGTCATAAAGAGGATAGGACTGAGGAGAGAGCCTTAAAGTTATGTGTGTGTGTGCGGCGGTGAATATTTCGTAAAACTGTGACATCAGAGAAATATGGTTTGGTATTTACTCGCACATTCACTTGAATGAAATATGGCGCAGAGTAGAGTTTGAAGGTTGTATTTCTTTTCCTTTTTTTTTTTTATTCATTATTAGGATCTTTTTTATTAATTCATCTGGAATAATGTAAAGTTACTTATTTCACCCCAAGAAATTATTAATTTTAAATAAAAGTTTATTATTTTCTTTATTAAATTTTAGGCACCCTTTTGATATTCTAAATTTTAAATCAAAATTTGTTTAGGTTGCCTCGCAACAACCCCAATCTTCATAATGAAAAATTACCAAAAACCAGGGAGTTAATCACATTTCGTTTTTTGTGGATGATATCATTTTAAAGGATCTTTTTAACAATTTAAAAAATAAAAAAAAAAAGCTGTTTTGGGACTTTTGTTTATCGAGGTGAGCGCGACAGACCCCAAACTTAGAAATAGAGCATTCAAAGTCGCCCATTTTTTGGGGCGATATGCACAAAAAATCAACCCAACTTTATTGCAATGGAAGGGGTGTGACTGGGAGAATTATTCAGCTGAATTTTATATATATAATTTTTTTTTCAAATTGAATAATATTTTGCGGTGAATTAATATTTTGCGGTGAATTCACAGAAAAGTTTTGTTGGATTGTTGGCATAGACCTTACTTTTGAGATGACACCAAAGAAAGAAATATAAAGTCGTCAAGTTGCACGATCATGGAGGCCAATTTACTTCGCTGTTTTGAGAGATGATGCGACATGGGAACTTACCTATTTTTATTTTTGTCAGATATAACAATGGCAAAGTAAAACTTATGAATTTTGTATAAGGGTGTTTCATTAAGACGGATCAAAGTTAACAGTAAATAAATCAGTGTTATTGGTGAAAACTTATTTATTTCTCTATTGGATCATGTTATTTAAGTCATGGCAATTATATGTGAAAAATAATATCGCCCAAATGTCCGCCAAGGCTTCGGTGGCACACCTCCACTCGATGGTCAAATTTTTTTGATGACGTCTTTGCATAGTTGCTTTTCAATCTCACCAATATGCCTTATTATCTCATCCTTCATCTGTTGAATTGTTGTTGGATTGTTGGCATAGACCTTACTTTTGAGATGTCCCCCAAAGGAAGAAATCTAAAGGCGTCAATTCGAACGATCGTTGTGGTCAATTGACTTCACTGTTTCGTTGATGATACGATCTGGGGAACTTTTCATTCAATTCTGCCATTGAACGTTGTTTTTGTAATTTCTTCGATCCTTTAACACGATGTTTGATTGTTAATCTTTCCATGATTGAAATTCCCAAAGACTTAAGTTGCTAAATCTGAAAGAAAAAGAAAAAAGATCAGACGTTTAAAGTTAATTCACATTTAAAATCGGTCCAAGTTATTGGAACACTCTTTATTACTGAGAATCATAATAATCATGGAGAATGTATTTAGCGATGTCTATATGGCGTCAGTGTTAAACCGAACTGGTTAGTGGACAGGACCTGTACATGGCGGATTCGTGTATCATTGAGTGACTGATTCTAATACAGGATGCATGGACGTTGTCCATATATTATGTTTACCTCATGAACTTCAATAAAATATAAGGGAGATAGATATTAATAATAGTATATAATAGTTCTTATGCAGGGTTTCCCTAAGACATGCAAACTATTACAAGGATTAAGGGTAAAAAGGCCGAGAAACGTTGGTCTAGGTAATTGTGATTGTGAATATTGGATAACCAAGGGAAGTAATGAATGTCAACACCCTATTGTACTAGAGTCCCACGTTACTCTAGGATTAACACGAATAAGAATGAAAACTTTATCAGCATTTAATAAAGTTATTTATTTACGTTTAAAAATGTGAATACCAAGATTAATATAAACACAATGTCCTTTCCTATAGAGAGAGATGTCGGGCGGACTTACCCATTTGATGGAGTGAAATAGGATCAGACAACTTGTAACTTTGGTAACTGGTACCGTGGCGGTTGCGTGTCACTTCAGAGCTGATTCGAATCTCTTCTTCTCGTGTTCCTTTATAAATTTTTACGTGGTTTAATTAACCAATGAGAGGATTTCTAACACATCATATCATTTGAAATAAATTAAAAAATGGGAAAAGAAATTTTACAGACTCAACAACGCTAATAGCGACTTCTCTTCATCCATGCAATCGTTTGGCAATGAAAAGAAACCTCAGCGCAGTCTGAAGTCTTATGTCTTGTATATTCATAAACTTAC